TCAAAACCAAAAAGAAGAAGGCCACCCTGAGGAAGCATGTGAAGCCAATGCCTGCGTCGAAGTAAAAGGAGAAGCTAAGGACAGTCGGAAAAGCTGGTTAAGGATGAGTAAAGGAAAAAGGAGCAATCTATAATCACCGGAAGCTCCACATAAAGCAACCCAGTTAACACCACTGCACCTGAGAATCTAGAGCCTTTCAAAGCGTGCAAGCGCACAGATCACCGGCTTTCGTCAAGACTTCAAAGCTATGTCGATCGTGGATCGTATGAAGGTCGTTGACAAAGGCAAGCTGTGTAAAATCTGCCTGAATGACCACGGAAACGCAGCTTGTCGATTCAAAATGTGATGTAACATCGGTGAGTGTTGGGAGCGCCATTATCCTCTGCTGTATCCCACAGCATCATCAATTGCGATGAACACACACACATTCATCTTCAAGGGACTGTCCTCTTCCGAATTATTCCAGTGTCGTTACATTGTGGCCTCCCTTAGCTCAGTCGGTAAAGACGCAGCTACAAAGCAAGACCATGCTGAAGGTGGCTGGGTTCGATTCCCGGTCCGGTCTAGGAATTTTTCGGGTTGGAAAATTGGGTTGGGCAAGCCCCGCAATTATACGCGTGAAAAATGGCTATCAATTAATAACTGTGGAAGTGCATCTAGAATAGTAAGTTGAGAGCACGCCATAAGCTTGAAATGCGAAGAAAAAAAAGAAGAAGAATAAGAAGAAGAAGAAGAAGAAGAAGAAGAAGAAGTAGAAGAAGGAGCGATCGCTTACCGAGTGAAAGGAATTCTTCAGCCATACATGATCAAATGGACCGCTGACGTCACGCGAGTTTAAGACGGTTCAACGTGGATATCCGCTTCCGGAGACCAGGAAAAGCTGTTGTTGAAATCCGTACAGACTGTGGAACAACTTCTTCTGCCGAAACAATCACTGGACGGTACCGCAATGTATTCTGTTTACCATTTTCTTCGTGATCAGCCAATCTCACCGTATACCAGCCAAAGACCCGGAATGCTCATTGGTTTGAACAACCTTCACGCCGTCGCGCCGATGGATACCAAAGTTGGAGATCAAGGAGAGCCAATCGTTGTAAGGTCCAAACTCGGCTGGTCAGTCTACTGACCTACAGGAGGGTAACCGAACCATAGGCAGAATTTATACCCTACGAAATTCTGCCTATGGTTGCCCTCTTGTAGGTCCGTAGACTAACGAAATAAGTAACGAAAATCTGTACAACATGCTGAAGGAACACTTAGCGCTAGGAGAATCGGTGGTTGCTGTGTCGAAGGAAGAAATACGAGTTCGGGAGATCCCAGAACATACTACAGTGCCTGTCGGTGACCGCTTCGAAATGCTGTGGAAAACCAGCAATCCGAAATTTCCGAACAGTTTTCCCATGGCGCGCAGATTAAAACAGGTACGAAAGCAAATCGAGGAATACCAGCAGAAGAGTCGAGCGTCGCAAGAAGAGTTGGCTGTATTCGGTTCCTTCCCATCAACGTAACTCTGAATTCAAAGAAACCTGCAACAATAAGGCTGGTATGGGACGCAGTGGCAACGGTAAATGGTGTTTCATTGAATTCTCACTTGCTCACAGGTCCGGACATGCTCACTCCACTACCGGGTGTTCCCAATCGTTTTCGGAAACGACCCATGGATACGCGTGGCAGATAAGAAGGCTCAGATGTTCATGTTCCGAAGCTCATCAAGCGATTCCACAAGCGCGTACACAATGGATGTAGCGACGTTTGGATCCAAATGCTCACCGTGCCAAGCGCAGTGCGTGAAGAATCAGAATGCCTTCGAGTTTTCCAGAAGCAGCAGTAGCGATAATAGAGAAGCACTACGTCGACGACTACTTCGACAGCGTCGATACAATCGAAGAGGCCATCACTAGAGCGAAGGAGGTGAGATATGTTCACTCGATGGGAGATTTTCAGCTTAGGAACTGGGTGCCGAAACGCGTGATTGGTTGGCGGCCGATCAACGCGAGGATTTGCAAGTTGAGGATTAAGGGCCGTTTCTTCAACTACAGCATTATCAACGTGCACGTTTTATGCGCAGCTGGAGCAGGTGTACGACGGCTGTTCGCAATGGGACGTCAAAGTCGTCATCGGCGACAGCCCGGCAATCGAGCCAAACATCCTGCATGCCGTATCGAACGACAACGGCCAACGTGTGCGAACATAGATTCGGACCACTACCTAGTTGCAGTATGCATGCCCTCAAAACTCTCGACGGTGCATAACACCCATCGAAGTCTAACGCCGCGACCCAACATTGAGCAATTACGGGACGCTGGAGTTGCCCAGGATTACGCGCAGCAGCTGGAAGTTGCATTACCCACGGAAGAGCAGCTTGGGGCAGCTACTCTTGAGGATGGCTGGAGGAACATCCGGCAGCGGCACTAGGTGCTGTGATCCCGTACCGAAGAAACGACTGGTTTGACGGCGAATGCAAACTGTTAGTAGAGGAGAAGAATACAGCACGGACGAGAATGCTGCAGCACCGCACGAAATTGAATGTGGAGCGATACAGGCAAAACTCAGTTTTTCGAAGAAAGAAGCGTCAGCAGGAAGACCGAGATCGCGAGGCGATGGAAAATCTGTACCGCGTAAATGACACACGGAAGTTCTACGAGAAACTTAATACTTTGCGCAAAGGCTACGTGCCGCAAGCCGATATGTGCAAGGACTTAGACGGTAACCTACTCACGAACGAGTGTGAGGTGATTGAGAGGTGGAAGCAGTACTATGACGAGCACCTCAACGGTGAAGCAGCAGAAAACGAAGGTGGCACGGCAACAGACCTTGGAGCACGCGCAGAAGACGACAGGCTACCGGCCCCTGATCTTCAAGAAGTTGAGGAGGAGATCGGTCGGCTGAAGAACAACAAAGCAACTGGTGTAGATCAACTACCAAGTGAGCTATTGAAATACGGTGGTGAAGCACTGGCTAGAGCGCTGCACTGGGTAATTGCCAAGATTTGGGAGGAGGAGATATTACCGGAGGAGTGGATGGAAGGTGTCGTATGCCTAATGTACAAGAAGGACGACAAGTTGGATTGCTACCGCGCGATCACACTTCTGAGCGCCGCATGCAAGGTACGCTCCCAAATTCTATGCCGTCGTCTGTCACAATTTGCAAGAGAGTTCGTGGGGAAATACCAGGCGAGATTCATGGGTGCCTGTGCTACCAAGGACAGGTTCTGCAGAAATGCCGCGAAAACAACGTGCCCAGCTATGGCAGATTATGCACGAGTACGGATTTCCGGATAAACTGACGCGATTGGTCAAAGCGACGATGGATCGAGTGATGTGCGTTGTTCGAGTATCGGGGCACTCTCGAGTCCCTTTGAGTCCCGAAGGGGGTTACGGCAAGGTGATGGACTTTCGTGTCTACTGTTCAACATCGCGTTAGAAGGTGTGATCAAAAGAACTGGGATAGACACGAGTGGCACGATCTTCAGGAAGTCCATCCAGTTTCTTGGCTTCGCCGATGACATCGACAAGATGGCACGGAACTTTAAGACGATGGCGGAAACGTATTTCAGACTGAAGGCAGAAGCTAGGCGGATTGGACTTGCCATCAACGCATCGAAGACAAAATACATGAAAGGAAGAGGTTCTACGGAAGACAATGTTAGCCTCCCACCCAGAGTTCAGATTGACGGTGACAAAATCGAGGTGGTCGACGAGTTCGTGTATTTGGGCTCACTGGTGACCACCGAGAATGATACCAGCAGAGAAATTTAAAGACGCATTATGGCAGGGAATCGTGCCTACTTTGGACTCCGGAGGACGCTCCGGTCGAATAAAATTCCCCGCCGCACGAATTTGACTATCTACAAGTCGCTGATTAGAGCGGTGGTCCTCTACGGCCACGAGACCTGGACTATGCTCGTGTTGTTTTCGAACGGAAGGTGTTCCATAACATCTACGGTGGAGTGCAGATGGATGATGGAACGTGGAGAATGAACCACGAATTGCACCAGCCGCTGGGAGAACCATCCATCGTCCACATTGCAAAAATTGGGTGACTACGGTGGGTTGGGCACGTCTTAAAAATGCCGCACGACGACCCAGTGAAAATAGTTCTCGAAAGCGACCCAACAGGAACCAGATGAAGCGGCGCGCAGCGCGCTAGGTGGATCGAACAAGTAGAAGGCGACCTGCAGACCCTTCGCAGACTACGAGGTTGGTGAAGTGTGGCCAAGGATCAAGTAGAGTGAAGACGACATCTTCGGACAGCAGAGGACAACAAGGCCTTAGCCTGGATGGTAAGGTAAGGTATATAAGCAAATGGATGTTGCACTCTGGAGCTTTTCTCTATGAACTGGGAGAAGTCTGACAAGACCAGTCGGTACATTTCAATCAGGATAAGGAAAGCGGAATTGCTCGAATGTCAACGTCCTACGAAGAAAATAGTTCTGAGCTGCGTGATGGGATTTTCCGAACCGTTAGACTTGCTCACATCGTTCGCAATCAATGGAAAAATCGTGGTGCCATTTTGAAAATTTTACAAGATTCAAAATGGCCGAATTTAAGCAAAAATGTATATCATTGCCCATAACTAACAATTATGCCAGGTTTAATGCAAATCGGAGAAGGTCGAGTTTTCATTTCGATTCGTCATTTGGCGTGTAACTTTCTTATTAGCAAAAAATAACCATCATGGCGCCCCTCGGCGGGACTTTGTATGGGTGCGAGCTGCCAATTTGTTATGTTATAAGATCGAAAAAAATATATCGTTGTGCTCAGAAAACGAAGCTTTTGCAGATGATGCATAATAACTGATATATTTTTCAAAATTATAAACAAAAGGAAAAACTTGTTAAAGTGGCCTGGGGTAAAATTGACCCCAAGATACAGACAAAGGGTTATAGTAGATCGATCACACCTTTTCTAGTGAATTCATGTTTGAAAACTAGATATCACGGAAAGCAAATTCAGCGAATTATAACCTTATTTTTTCAATTGTCATCCCCTTTCGAACAGGTCAGCGAAACGATGGCCCAGAGCAATGGGTACATCTCGTCCGGCTACGGCGAAGATGCAGAGGACAAACCGATGCTGGTGATGAAGAACAGCAAATCCAGCGACAACGGAGGCCACGGCCTAACGGCGCTCATCAACCGGCAGCTGCAGGGTAAGTCCCGGCGCCACTCCATCCGCAATCGGCGCTTTTTGGCTGACTTGTCCTCAAATACTCCATACTTAGGCTACGGGTGCTTTGTTCGATTTTCGCGTTTAGTTGGATTGGATTAGCTACCTAACATAGTTCGATCAATCGCTGCCGATTGGCTTTCTTTAGTTCTTTAGGTTCTGGAAAAACATTTTCTCAATTTAGCGTTTATCGGAAAGCATAAAAAAACTGAAAGCAGCCAGTTTAGAGAATCTTGTGTTTAGCGTTTAATGAATTTTATTGAATGTTTTTTAAATCCTAGATTTCCAAAAAAAAATTAGCGATTTTTAAAGTTAAATTAGAATTCACTACCAAATATCACTCATCATTCGCTTAACCCATTTAGTGCTGAAAGTTTCGTTTTACCCCGTATAATCTAGCTCTGAATTAAAACTGAGCTTACTTACCTGTCTCTCGCCTGATTTATTGAAAACTTAATTTTAGTTCAACCTACATTTGTTTAATCGTTCTTTTTTCTACTTTCCTCTCGCATTTTTTTCCACGAAACTTCTTCCCCTTCTGCATCGTCACATCACGCACGCTTTTTACTTTGGTTTACAATCAATCACCCGAAAACCGACAAACAAACAAACAAACAAACTCACCTTAAAACAACGTCAGAGGAGAGCGTCCCCCTGCTGCTGAATCCGGCCAACCCGACGCCGCTGATGTCCCTGCACATGCGCCTACTGCATTCGGTCGAGAACAAATTCATCAAAAAGATCTACGACGTGTGACGACCGGACCGGATGCCGCCATGGCAACTGGCGACCGCCAACGAACGAAAACCGGATCGGCGCAGAATATGAGAAAAAACAATCAACGAATGTTACACACATTTTGTCTAGTCCTTTAAATTTTGGTGTTTTAGTTTCGTGTCTTTTGCGTTCTTATCTTTTTTTTTTAATTTTTGTAAAACCTCAAACATCGAACCAGCGGCAACCGAAGCGGCAATGAAGCGGCAACGATTTTTTACACAAATCTACTTGTTTTTTTTATTTGCTGCCTGTTTTTGAATCCGCTATTTTTCGGTAAGTTTTGCCTACTTTTACACACTACTTTTCCCGGTTTAACACAGTTTAAGACTGCAACTATTTCTCACTAACTTTTTTCACTTGCTTTTGATTTTTCTATAAAAAAAAACATGTTTTAAACGTTAACCAAATAAAATGCCAATTCGCGTCCAAACCGAACGGGGATCGGATGCTAAACGCCAGCGATAGCAAATAACCTCCGGAACTAACTGTTACTCATACCATCTTTCTCTCTTTCTCTCGTTTCATTGTCTTCCTTCTCTTCCCAAAACGAAAAAAAAAAAAACTCAATAACCAAAACATTCCCCGATTTTTCTGTGTGTCACCATCAATCACCACCAAATGCAATTTTGTCCTTGCGAAAAATCCTAGCCCTGCCTAGGATATCCAAATATTACTACTGTGGTAAGTTTCCGTAAGGTCTGCCAATTGCGTGATCTTTGCATATTTTGGCTTGATTCTTGATTTTCGGTTTTACTTCAAATTTAAAGTACACACAAAATTCATCCTTATTCGAATTTGTCCAAATTTCTGTGCACATTTTCGGTTTTTGCAATCATCGATTAATCGATTTTTTTTTCCGTTTTCATTCATTCGAGTAATTGGTGTTTAAATGTTATGAAAATCTAAATCACGCCATGTCTTTATTTGGGTTGCGTTTCTAGTTCTGCTTGTTAAGATGAATTAATTAATACGTCATTTTCGGCAGATAAAATACTCTCATTATTAATTGAAGTGTTGTTAAATTACATGTGTATAAAATGAATGCATCTTATAGGTTTAGCGTAATGTGTAACTTTTCCTCCCTTCGCAGCTTATTTTCAAATAACTATGTAAGTAATTTATTGGCGGAATGTATCACAGCCAGGGGTGGGATGTGGCTGTCAAATACGGACAATCGTCGCCTACCTCGTAAAACGAGTTCCAAACGTCAACAATCCATTAGAAACCAACATGGTTTGTTTACGTTTGGAACCAATTTCATACAAGAATGATCAGTATGCTGATTTGACAGCACCTCTTCCCCCAGATCACAGCACATCTTGCTATGAGCTGCGCAATACTTACAACCGGTGGAAACTAACGATTTTCAATTGGCTCACTACTTGACTAGCCTATTGGTACCAATCAAATCGCTTAACGTACCCCATTCTAGTTGAAATTCTAGTACTACATTATGTTTATTTTGATTCGCTATCCACACCGGTCGTCGCTATCAGAGTCATAATTTAAGTTACCGTTTTCCACACCGGCAAAACAAGCTTTTGACGTTTATTCAAAATAGCAACCGTCTGATGCGTTGCTACCGGGTTGCTAAATTTATGAACTCACTACTTCCGAAGACATCATATCAAGAAGACTGGTAACTTTGCCAGAATCCAAGCGACAGATACAATAGCGCTGCGCTTGAGTGAAGGTGGAAGCAACGCATAGAAATATGAGCAAATACACAAACCTTTCTTCTAGGGATGTAATCTTTGCTATTAAATTCGTTCGCAGCCTTTACCTTTGAGCAGCAGATGACGCGATTGTCTCCTAGAGTTCGTATGAGAAAATGGAAGAGTTGCCAGTCTTCTTGATTTGTAATCTTCGCTACTTCCCAAGGTGTGGATTGCTATTTCCCCCACCTGAATAGCAACCCCCGGTACGCAAGTAGCGTTATGATAGAGGTTGGTAAATGTGCCTTATTTACTCATTGGTAGGTGAGTTGCAAAGTGACTCCAAAGATGAATACTAAGATGAAACTGTTGGAAGAAAAACTTTCTATTTGAGTGTCCTCTTTCACGGTTCCTTTCATCCAATGAATACCCCCCGTATTCAAGGCAATTTTGTGATTTTGCTGCCCCCTCGGCAGAGGTGAAATTTTGCGTCTCATTTTTTAATTACTCGATGAACAACTAATCGATTATTTTTTGTTCGCTGTGCTGCCATTTTTCCACCAATGAGAGTGCAGGACATGTTTCAAACGATCGGTGATTAATACCCCACAATATGGCTATTTTTGGAATCTTGGTGACGTGTTTTTGAAATTCAAGATGGCGGCTTCCGGTTCAAGAAAAACTTTGAAATTCGGTCAAGTACCCCACAATTTTGTTATTTTTGGAATCTTGGTGACGTGTTGTACCGGATATCGATGTCTGACGGTATTTTGACATTCAAGATGGTGGCTTTTCGTTGGGGAAAAAAACATGGAAATTCTGTCAAACACCCCACAATATTGGTATTTTTCGAGGGACCGGACATCGATGTCTGAGGCTGTTTTAATATTTAAAAGATGGATGGTGGCTTCCGGTTAGAGAAAGTTTTGGAAATACTGCCAAATAACACACAATATTGGGTATTTCTGGAATCTAGGTGTCGTGTAGGGACCGAAAAACCATGTCTGACGCCTTTTTGAAATTCAAGATGGCGGCTTCCGGTTAGAGAAAAACTTGGAAATACTGCCAAATTACCCACAATATGGGTATTTTTTGAATCGGGGTGACGTGTAACGGCCCTAAATCGATGTCTGTGGCCATTTTTTAATTCAATATGGTGGCTTCCGGTGCAAGAAAAACTAGGAAATTCTGTGAAATACCTCTAAATATGGGTTTTTTTTTTAACTCTTTATTTGTTCCAAATTCAAAATAAATTACATTTCATTTTAACCTAGGTGCTCCAGTTACTGCAGTAACGTACCAGCCTTAATTGTTATGATATATATCTAAGTGTTTTTACATTGTTCATGTCTTGGCAATTCAGTATTTTAAACAGGTTTTTAACCTGCATGTCAGTATAACAATTGATATCTTAAAACTAAAAACTAAAACTAAATCTTATCTAAGTATAAAGGGAATTAATCGTTGCAATTGAGGATTGCAACGATTTTTGCCTGAAATTATTAATTATTTTGTTGGACATTTGTGCTAAAGTCTCAACATTCGAAATTCTATGTACTTCGGTAGTACTGTACCAGGGAGGCAACTTCAAAATCATTTTCAGAATTTTGTTCTGAATCCTTTGAAGTGCTTTTTTCCTGGTAGTGCAGCAACTAGACCATATTGGCACAGCGTAAAGCATGGCCGGTCTAAAAACTTGTTTAAATATTAGAAGTTTATTCGTCAGGCAAAGTTTGGATTTCCTGTTTATAAGAGGATACAAACATTTTATATATTTGTTACATTTGGCTTGAATGCCCTCAATGTGATCTTTAAAAGTTAATTTTTGGTCAAGTATTAATCCAAGATATTTCACTTGGTTTGACCAGGAAATTGGAATTCCGTTCATAGTGACTATGTGACTACTACTAGGTTTAAAAAACGAAGCTCTAGGCTTGTGTGGAAATATTATAAGTTGAGTTTTGGAAGCGTTGGGAGAAATCTTCCATTTTTGTAAATAAGAAGAGAAAATATCTAAACTTTTCTGCAGTCTGCTGCAAATAACACGAAGACTTCTTCCTTTAGCGGAAATGCTTGTGTCATCAGCGAACAAAGATTTGTGGCAACCCTGAGGCAAATCAGGGAGGTCCGAAGTGAAAATGTTATACAATATAGGCCCAAGAATGCTACCCTGAGGAACTCCTGCTCTAACAGGTAGTCGATTAGATTTGGAATTTTGATAATTTACCTGCAGAGTTCTGTCAGTTAAATAATTTTGAACTAATTTCATAATATAAAGTGGAAAATTAAACTTTTTCAATTTAGCAATCAAACCTTCATGCCAAACACTGTCGAATGCTTTTTCTATGTCTAGAAGAGCAACTCCAGTTGAGTGGCCTTCAGATTTGTTTGAACGAATTAAATTGTTAACTCTTAAGAGTTGATGAGTAGTTGAATGCCCATGGCGAAATCCAAACTGCTCATCTGCAAAAATTGAGTTCGTATTGATGTGAAGCATCATTCTATTCAAAATTATCTTTTCAAAAAGTTTACTTATTGAAGAAAGCAAACTTATTGGACGGTAGCTAGAAGCTTCAGCTGGATTTTTATCCGGCTTCAAAATTGGAACAACTTTTGCATTTTTCCATTTATCAGGAAAGTATGCCAAATGGAAACATCTGTTAAATAATTTTACCAAGAAAGACAAGGTACTCTCTGGGAGTTTTTTGATGAGGATAAAGAAAATTCCATCATCACCTGGAGCTTTCATATTTTGAAACTTTTTAGTTATAGACCTTACTTCGTCCAAATCAGTCCCCCAGGAATCATCAAAAATATTTTCCCGAGAGAAAATATTCAGAAAATCCCGAGCAACCTGATTCTCAATAGGACTAGTAAGACCCAAACTGAAATTATGGGAACTCTCGAATTGCTTAGCAAGTTTCTGAGCTTTTTCCAAATTTGTGATCAAAATTTTACCACCTTCTTTAAGCGCTGGAATAGGCTTTTGAGGTTTTTTCAAAATTTTTGTGAGTTTCCAAAAGGGTTTGGAACTCGGTCTAATTTAGAAATTTTATTTTCAAAAGTTTTGATCCTCAGGGCAGAGAATCGCTTTTTAATTTGTTTTTGCAAATCCCGCCAGATAACCTTCATGGCAGGATCGCGTGTTCTTTGATATTGTCTCCTACGGACATTTTTAAGACGGATCAAGAGCTGAAGATCGTCGTCTATTATAATTGAATCGATTTTAACCTCACATTTTGGTATTGAGGCAGCTCTTGCTGCAACTATAGAAGTAGTCAGAGATTCAAGAGCATAATTAATTTCATCTTTGGTTTGCAAAGGAATGTTTGGATCGAAGTTATATTCCATAAATGTTCGATACTGCTCCCAATCAGCTCTATGGTAATTGAAAGTAGAGCTGTTGGGATTACAAATTATTTCTTGGGATATTTCAAAAGTTACTGGAAGGTGATCAGAACCGAAGTCAGCATGGGTAACCAATTGGCTACAAAGTTGACATGAATCAGTTAAGACCAAATCAATAGTGGAGGGATTTCATGCAGAAGAAAAGCATGTTGGGCTGTTTGGATATTGAATAGTGTAATAACCTGCAGAACAATCATCAAACAGAATATT